CAAATAATGGTTCAAATAGTACTATTTTATGAATGAGCAGATGTTTTAATAAACTAGAAGTCATATAATATTTGGGAGAGTTGCTTCAAACCGATTAGAAGTTGTTTTGGTTAGTATTGAGAGATGAGATGATTTTTAAGCATAGCCCTAAATTTGTATGTGGTCAGGGGATCTTTTGCCAGTTCAGGTAGTGAATTCCAAATCTTCAGGCCCTTTATGCGAATTGCATTTTTGCATAGTGTGAGACTGACATAAGGGATGTTTAAGAGTGCTTTGTGCCTTGTATTGTGACCATACGTTCTGTTGCAGCTATCAAGAAGTTTAAGTGGAGGGTTTATATTGGAGTTTAATGTTCTTTATATATGGTAGGCACAATAATTTGAGTGTCTTGTATATTTAGTAGGTTCAAGCTTTTTGAAAAGTGGTGGGGTGTTCTCTCTGGCACAGTTGATCATCATCATCTGAAAAGAAGCTTTTTGTTGGGTTGTTAAAGGTTTAAGGTGGTTGGCCGTGGTTGATCCCCAGGCACAAATACCATAGGTGAAGTAGGGATGTATGAGAGAGTGGTATAGGGTAAGGAGTGTTGTTTGGGATACATAGTACTGTATCTTGGAAAGGATTCCTACTGATTTAGAAATTTTCCTGGACACAAGCTGGAATTTTTTTTTGACACATAAGCCATTTCCCACTGAGGCAGGGTGACCCAGAAAAAAAGAAAGAGCCCCAAAAGAAAGAAAAAACTTTCATCATTCAACACTTTCACTACCACTCGTACATAATCACTGTCTTTGCAGAGGCACTCAGATATGACAGTTTAGATGTCCCACTAAACTGCTAATATCTCAAACCCCTCCTTTAAAGTGCAGACATTGTATTTCCCATTTCCAGGACTCGAATCCAGCTAACCGGTTTCCCTAAATCCCTTCACAAAATATTACCCTGCTCACACTCCAACAGCTTGTCAGGTGCCAAAAACCACTAGTCTCCATTCACTCCTATCTAACACGCTCATGCACGCTTCCTGGAAGTCTAAGCCCCTTGCCCACGAAAGCCTCCTTTACCCCCTCCCACCAAGCTTTTCGGGGAGAACCCCTACCCCGCCTTCCTTCCCCTACAGATTTATATGCACTTAGTCATTTTACTTTGTTCCATTCTCTCTAAATGACCAAAGCACCTCAACAGCCCCTCTTCAACCCTCTGACTAATACTTTTAGTAACTCCACACCTCCTACTAATTTCCACACTACAAATTCTCTGCATAATATTTACACCACACATTGCCCTTAGAATATACCCTTAAAATATGCTGGATATGAGAATGAAATTTAAGATTACAGTCAAGGTGAAGACCTAGAAATTTACCCTTGTAATTGGGGAATCATTTATCGATATGTTAAGTTGGATGTTTAAGGCTCTTTCCAAACAGCTTGAAGTAGGTTTTTAAACATGGTCTTTAAACATTGCTCTGACAAAGTGAATATCAAAATGGTATACAATTCTGACAGGATGGTATGTAAGACACATGGGCAAAAGTTAGGCAACTTTATTCCAAAATGTTTCGCCTACACAGTAGGCTTCTTCAGTCGTGTACAGAAAGTAGGTAGGAGCAGTAGAGATGTGAAGACGACGTATTCAGTCCATCAACCTCAAATCTACGAATTTAAGGGTGATGGACTGATTACATCGTCTTCACATCTCTACTGCTCCTGCCTACTTTCTGTACTCGACTGAAGAAGCCTACTGTGTACGCGAAACGTTTCAGAATAAAGTTGCCTAACTGTTGCCCATGTGTCTTACCTATCACCATTGACCTGACAAGGAGGCTGGTGACCATGGAGTAGTTATTTTTGAGATCAGTGTTTGGCATGAATATTATGCAGGGACTAAACAGAGTAATTAGACAATGAGGGAGTATGAAAGATACTCAAAGGGTGCTCCTCCCCTTACTTCAGTTGAACCTGATTTCCCCAGGTACTGTGACTCCTAGGGGTTAGTGCTTCCCTTAAATATGTATACTAATAGTTCAGTGGACAGAGGAATGTTTGTTGAGATAATTTGGCTTTTTAGAAAGGAAGCAGAATAGGCCGACCAAATTGGTGTAAAAATCCAGTGTAGCTAATATGAGGGTTGTCTCTGGAAAGGTTGGTGGGGGGATGGGGGGGGCTGAAGAAAGTTTTGAGTGGTAGGAGCTTGAACACCTAGTTTGCATTTGTACTTTACATGTATTAAATTATCATTCAGTCTCCCTCCCTCACCCAGGCTCCTTCCCACTGATCCTCACTCTGCCTTCCTCCCAAAAAGCACAAAAATAATTTCTGGTCTATTTCTCAGTGCCTGGGTGTACTCACTTTGCCTGCTTTTCTTTCAGACAATCTCAACCTTTAGTACTGACACATACACTGTGACATACTGACTTTATATCGGTATGTCACAGTATGCTAACTTTGACTTTCCTTGTCAATTTGTATGTTCATTTTATCGCATTACTTTGTTTTACCAATTACTCCCCTAGTCTTGCAGCACTTCATGACCAATATGAGTTTAACACATTTGTGACTAATAATCATAATGAATCTTAGGTTGTTAGGATGTTACACTGTTAGGGACAGTGTGAATGATACAGCTTTTAAGTGGTTTTTACTCTAGATGTATTGATTATATGCAAAATCTCTTCATAGGCTCCCTGAGAAAAATATGACTTGCAGTTCTGTGAAGATTTGGCAGATATTGGTGCATTTGTCATCCAAGTATTCGAGGACAACATATTCTGTGTACTTGAAAATATTCCATTGCGACTTTTCGTTTAGTTCATGTGTTTTGGTTGAAATAAAAATTAAGCAAACTATTCTTGTTGGTGAGCTTTCTATGAACCTGGAACCTCAATGTATGGTCATCAGATTTGTGCATTAAAATGTCTTGGAAGGGGATTTTGTCTTGATTTCTTCTTTCAAAGTAAATTGGAAGACTTGCTCTACTCTGTTTAAGGTTTCCACGTAGATCTGACATCATCCTTCAATAGATGACTGTTGAAAAATGCTCCTCACAGCTCCTCAAAGTGTTTATCCACTTCACATAAGGCTTCCAATAATTCTTTCTATTTGCTTTTCCTTGTTCTACCGTGATCGAACGCAGCATTCATACTGGTAGTTCTTTAGATTTTGAGGAGGTTCTCTGATCCTTCTTTATCAATCTAGGGAAATTTATGCTGAGCTCCAGTAAGGGTCATACCAGAGCTAGGTTAGTATGGGCACCATTTGGGTCTCCAGCCTATACAGTGGACCCCCGCATAACGATTACCTCCGAATGCGACCAATTATGTAAGTGTATTTATGTAAGTGCGTTTGTACGTGTATGTTTGGGGGTCTGAAATGGACTAATCTACTTCACAATATTCCTTATGGGAATAAATTCGGTCAGTACTGGCACCTGAACATACTTATGGAGTGAAAAAATATCGTTAACCGGGGGTCCACTGTAGTTGTGCAACAGCATAGTGCATCTCCCAGTAGAATGTCATTGATGGCCTTATAACAGTTCTTGTGGAGTCTTTGACTTGGTACTTCACATTATTATTAGCTAGGTGTTACTTGTTCAAGTGCAGCATGATATAAATGCAATGTTCAAGGTCTTTCTGACAAGCAAGAGGTTGTCTTCAGCTGCCCTCTGCTATCGATGTAGGATTTTCCTCAAAGATTGTAACAAAGCCCTCTGGTATGATGCTCTGGCTAACAAGTTTTTCAGTAGTTTGGTTACTTTTTTCCTCCCTTCTTCCTCTGCTTGACATTTCCTGTCTGACCTAGATCATGGATTCCTGCTTCTATTCTTTAGCTGGTTCCTCCATATTGGTGTGCTTCAGGTACAGTTCTTAGTATACCATTAGGGCCACACCACATTTAATGCTGTGGAACAGAAGGGAGGAAAAAAAAAAGGCTAACTGAGCAAGAAAGTTCACAAAAGTCCCTTTTGGGGTCTGGAGAGGTGAGTGAAATATAAGTTTGCTGGTTGTGGACCACCAATGTTCCACTACAGAAAAATGCATTTTCCATCCCTCAAAATCATTTACACTACCTGTATTATAATCACTATTACTACAGTTATATTGCTTTATTTTTCATTGAATTTTTGCATCATTTATAAACATATTTAGTTTTCAATTCCTCCTGATTAGAAACACATCAGGGTAAATGCTGATCCTTGTTGCACCTTACTGGTGATATTATTCCTGTTTTGTTAATGTTTCCATTATATTTTCAAACAAAATCTATCATACTATATATAGTACTGTAGTATGCCTTTCATACCAACAATGTTTTGTAGTTTCTATATTAGTCTTAAAAGGAAAACCTTTAAAAAATTCCTTGAAATCTAAAAAATAGTCTTGCCATCCATTTCTTACTGAAATAATTTCTATAAGTGTTGTAGAAGCTATGTAGATGTGATATGCTCTACAGGAATTTGTTGATGGAAAAACTGAACTGTTTATCAGTCATTAGGTTTGTTTGTACTCGAGTGTTTTATCAATTTTTGGGGGATTGCTTTTTTCCAGCATTTTCACACTAAAGCTTGTTATCAAGCAGACCTATAATTCAGTGGGTTTTTCCCAGTATTTATTTCTGATAGTGGCACATATGGGTCATTTTTCTGTTTGTCTTCCATATTACTTTCGTGTCAACATTCAGTAGCATCGTCAGTTCCTCAATGGATGCTTTACTGTCCTCCATTTGATTTAACTGTTTGGAGGTTACAGTTCACCACATATAATATCCTTTTCAGTAAACACACGTTGGAATGTCATATTCACCATCTCTCGTGAGTTTGTCACTGCAGTTTATTCTTTGTATTTAGTCTTTGATGTTTAATTTGTTTTTTCTCTATCTTGGTCTTGTCCACTTGTCTTTCTTTCTTTCCACTGTAGCTTTTTCTTTGAATCAAGACCAGCAATGTATGCATATTTGTTTATATGTATACATTGCTGATGTACTGGGCATTACTATTTTCAGACTCCAGGAGGTCGTCCAGGACCCGGGCCAGGTGAAGGTGGTGGTGGAGCCCAGAGTACTCCTTTAAAGAATGTGGTAGCCGCTCAACTTCGCAAGCTAATGTCATCATGTTGTGTGCTTCGGGTGAACGATTTTTGTGTTTATAGAGTGTCAACTTCTAAGCGAAAACAAGCTCCAAAAGAATTTATCTCAGGTAAATATAGCTATGCATCACTCAGTTTTTATATCTTGTATATAATAGGTTGGTAGTAGGTTGAGAACAGCTACCCAGGGAGGCACTACCATCCTGCCAGATGAGTGTAAAATGAAAACCTTTAATTGTTTTACACTGGTAGGATTGCTAGTGTCTTTTTTCTTTTTCTTCTCATAAACATGCAAAATGACAGGTACATCTTGCTACTGTTGTACTACTAACACCTAGTGCATACTACACATAGAGTTGTGCTTGTATGTAATATATATGTATGTGTATACACATGGGAATTTCCTTGTTGTTTTTGAAGTGTTTCCTTTCAATTTCATGAGGAAGAGGAGTAGAGTTCTTACTTCTTAAGATGTGCATCATACAAAATGACTAAAATACTGGGAGCAAGGTGCTAGTAATTACCTTCTGAATTAATCACAGTGGAACCTCAGTCTTCGAATTTAATTCATTCTTGATGTCTTTTCAACAAAAATAGACAACAGTATAACACTATTATCAACTCTCCGGCTTATTTATCTATCACAATTGATCTAATATGACATAAACAATATAAATAACATAGACACATGATATACACTCTAGAATGAATAAAATATGCCATTATGTGACGAGTGGAAGCTGCCACTCCTGAAGTAAAAATAATTATCACTCTGATTATATCTTCCCATTCTTGCCCTTCTGAGGTCTTATTATAAGAGAAAACAGAGTGTTTGTGAAGCTAACTGCACTTGATTACTAGTTTCATAAGGAAAACGCTAAAACAAAAGCGATTATCTCGGATTTTTTTTTTTCCCCAAGTCAGGAGACTGGCTTGCGTTTTGGGTGAATATCTCGCAAGTAAATCAGTGTAAATGCCTTCATGAAGTTCCTACTACTATTGTACTGCCTCGCCAAGTCGACTACACGCACACCTCGCTCGTGTTTTTCTGTGATTTCATGCTTTAATTCAATGGACATCATCCTCTTCTTTTTCTCAGCACTGTCCTTTGCACTTACTTTCTCAGGACCCATGGTTAGAAAAAAGAAATTTGGCACAATAGCTGCACATAACATAAGAACAATACAAGAGAGATGCTTCCACGGCAAGGTAACCACGTGCACTGTTGTGATGTTTGCTGTGCCAACTAGTGGCAGCGTATCTGAAGCTTGCTCATAACTCAGATTTTGGCTCTCAATTCAAAGCAAAAAATTGACTGAGCGACTGCTCATAACTCGGAAAACTCGTAAGTTGGGGCACTCGTAAGTCAAGGTACCACTGGATGATAATATATTAATAATGCACTGCTACATAAAACAATGTAAAAAATTATACAGGACAGGGAAACTGTAAAAATGAATTCTACAGTGCTCATCATGGCATTATACTGGGTGAGCACCCTGGCATAGTGCCGTGTTGAAAATCAAAGGCCTACCATATAGGGGGTCTCTTTTCATCACTGCATTCTGCTGGGTAGCAGATGTTAGCATGACGTCACTGCCTTCCGCCACACTTCACAGTGACTTCTCATTGCTCACGTGGCTACCGTGGTGAGAGGAAGTCTCTCTCATCCGTCCCATCTTTCATGAAGTGTTCCCTTTGGTTTTGCGGCTATACATCTTTAATTATGGGTAAAAGGAATTCTTGAACACCTGAAACTATAGCTCAAATCATAGGGCTTCACAAAGCTGGGCACCAGACAAAAGAAATAGTGGAGAATGTTAGTGTGTGTGAGCATTTAGTGAAGAACTGGGTGCAGCGTTTCAAGGCTGGTGGCAGTGTTGAGTTACCGTCTGCCAAACCTCAGCCTGGCCCCTAGAGGAAAACATCTATTCATATCTTAACTTTTAACACAGTTAAGGTACTAACAGATGTCTTCTTTGAGGGGCCAGGCCAAGGTTTGGCAGATGGTAACTCGACACCGCCACCAGCCTTGAAATGCTGCACCCAGTTCTTCACTGAATGCTCACACACACTAACATTCTCCACTATTTCTTTTGTCTGGTGCCCAGCTTTGTGAAGCCCTATGATTTGAGCTATAGTTTCAGGTGTTCAAGAATTCCTTTTACCCATAATCAAGGATGTATAGCCCCAAAACCAAAGGGAACACTTCACAAAAGATGGGAGGGATGAGACAAAAGTGCAATACTTCCTCTCACCACAGCAGCCACGTGAGCAATGAGAAGTCACTGTGAAGTGTGGAAGAAGGCCGTGATATCATGCTAATGGCTGCTACCCAGCAGAATGCACTGATGAAAAAAGACCCCCCCCTGTATGGTAGGCCTTGGATTTTCATCACAGCATTATGCCAGGGCACTCATGCTGCATAATGCCGTGACGAGCACTGTAAATGAAAATTTAACTGAAATACTGTACAGTAAATCCTGTCTGATGGCAATGTGTGGCATAAATACTAAGCAGTTTGGAGATTAGGAAGAGGTGCAGAGTTACTAAGAGTATTATCCAGATGGCTGAGGAGGAGTTGCTGAAGTCATTTAGAGAGGATGGAGGAAAATAGGATGACTTGGAGGGTGTTTAAATCTATAATGGAGGGAAGGCAGGGTAGGGGTTACCCTAGGAAAGGATGGAGGGAGGGGGTAAAGGAGGTTTTGTGTGCAAGGGGTTTGGACATACAGCAGGCATGTTAGATAGGAGTTATTGAAGACCAATGGTTTTTGGGACTTGATGAGCTGTTGGAGTGTGAGCAGGGTAATGTTTTGTGAAGGGATTCAGGAAAACTGGTTAGCTGGACTTGAGTCCTGGAAGTAGGAAGTACAGTGCCTTCACTTTAACCCTTTCAGGGTTTCCGATGTACTGGTACGGCTTACACATCAGGGTTATTAACGTACTAGTACGCGTAAATTCTAGCGCCTTCAAATCTAGCGAGAGAAAGCTGGTAGGCCTAAATATGAAAGAGTGGGTCTATGTGGTCAGTGTGCACAGTATAAAAAAAATCCTGTAGCACACAGTTCATAATGAGAAAAAAAACTTTGACCATCTTTTGGTTTAAATCAGCGACTTTGCACTGTATTTTCGTATTATATTTATGGTTGTATTCTAGTTTTCCTGGTCTCATTTTATAGAATGGAAGACATATCACAGAAATTGAGATGATTTTGATTGGTTTCTTAATGAAAAGTACATTGAAATTTAGCTCAAAGTAGCAGAAATGTTCGATTTTTGCCAAAGTTCAAAAGTAAACAAATCATGCCACGCGTCCAGTACACGTCAACTGGTGAGTTTACCTAGAGAGAGTTCTGGGGGTCATTGCCCCCGTGGCCTGGTCTGTGACCAGGCCTCATGGGGGATCAGGGCCTGATCAACCAGGCTGTTACTGCTGGCTGCATGCAATCCAATGTACGAGCCACAGCCCGGCTGGTCAGGTACCGACTTTAGGTGCCTGTCCAGTGCCTGCTTGAAGACAGCCAGGGGTCTATTGGTAATCCCCCTTCTGTATGCTGGAAGGCAGTTGAACAGTCTTGGACCCCTGACACTTATTGTGTTAGTCTCTTAGCATGCTAGTGACACCCCTGCTTTTCATTGGGGGGATGTTGCATCGTCTACCGAGTCTTTTGCTTTCAGAGAGAATGATTTTCATGTGCAAGTTTGGTACTAGTCCCTCTAGGATTTTCCAGGTGTATATAATCATGTATCTCTCCCGCCTGCGTTCCAGGGAGTACAGGTTCAGGAACTTCAAGCGCTCCCAGTAATTGAGGTGTTTTATCTCAGTTATGCGTGCCATGAAGGTTCTCTTTACATTTTCTAGGTCAGCAATTTCACCTGCCTTGAAAGGTGCTGTTAGCGTGCAGCAATATTACAGCCTAGATAGAACAAGTGACCTGAAGAGTGTTATCATGGGCTTGGCATTCCTAGTTTTGAAGGTTCTCATTAGCCATCCTGTCATTTTTCTAGCAGATGCGATTGATACAATGTTATGGTCCTTGAAGGTGAGATCCTCCGACATGATCACTCCCAGGTCTTTGACGTTAGTTTTTCGCTCTATTTTGTTGCTGGAATTTGTTTTATACTCTGATGAAGTTTAAATTTCCTCATGTTTACCATATCGGAGTAATTGAAATTTCTCATCGTTGAACTTCATATTGTTTTCTGCAGCCCATTGGAAGATTTGGTTGATGTCCACCTGTGTCTGCAATGGAAGACACTGTCATGTAGATTCGGGCGTCATCTGCAAAGGAAGGCACGGTGCTGTGGCTTACATCCTTGTCTATGTCGGAAATGAGGATGAGGAACAAGATGTGAGCGAGTACTGTGTCTTACGGAACAGAGCTTTTCACCGTAGCCGCCTCAGACTTGACTGTTGTCTACCACTCTTTGTGTTCTATTTGTGAGGAGGTTATAGATCCATCTACCAAATTTTGTGCGCTATTATGCCATGGTCACACTTGTCAAAGGCTTTTGCAAAGTCTGAGTATATCACATCTGCATTCTTTTTGTCTTCTAGTGCATCAAGGACCTTGTTGTAGTGATCCAGTAGTTGGGACAGACAGGAGCGACCTGCTTTAAATCCATGTTGCCCTGGGTTGTGTAATCGATGGGTATCTAGATGGGTGGCGATCTTGCTTCTTAGGACCCTTTCAAAGATTTTTATGATATGGGATGTTAGCGCTATCGGTCTGTAGTTCTTTGCTATTGCTTTACTGCCCCTTTGTGGAGTGGGGCTATGTCTGTTGTTTTTATTAACTGTGGGACGACCCCAGTGTCCATGCTCTCTCTCTCCATAGGATGTTAAAAGCACATGATAGGGGCTTCTTGCAGTTCTTGATGAACACGGAGTTCCACGAATCTGGCCCTGGGGCAGTATGCATGGGCATGTCATTTATCGCCTGTTCGAAGTCATTTGGCATCAGGATAACATCAGATAGGCTTGTGTTTACCAAATTCTGTGGCTCTCTCATAAAAAATTCACTTAGATCTTCGACTCTCAGTCTGGTTAGCAGCTTGCTAAAAACTGAGTCATATTGGGACTTGAGTACCTCACTCATTTCCTTGC